TTGTTGCAGTTTGGCTGGGGCCAGGTTTGAACCCACCACCCTTGGTATATGGGGCTGGCGCCCTACTCACTGAGCCACAGGTGCCGCCCTATATATGTCAATAGCAAATAATCTCAACAGGAAATCAAGAAAGTAATCACATTTACAACAGCTACATAGAATATAAAATACCTAGGAATCAATTTAACCAAAGCACTGAAAGATCTATACAAGGAAAACTATAAAATACTGATGAAAGAAATTGAAGAAGACAAAAAAAAAAAAAAAAAAGAAGAAAAGATATATCATGCTCATGGATAGGAAGAATTAATATTGTTAAGATTATAATACTACCCGAAGCAATATACAGATCTCAATCAAAATATTAATGATATTCTTCACAGAAATAGAAAAAACAATTCTAAAATTTATATGGAACCACAAAAGACCCCCAAGAGCCAAAGCAATCTTGAGCAAAAAGAACAAAGCTGGAGAAATCACACTACCTGACTTCAAAATATACAACAAAGTCATAGTGGCAAATCAGCATGGCACTGGCATAAAAACAGACATATCCACCAGTGGAACAGAGCAGAGAACTCAGCTATAAATCTACATTTCTAGCCAACTCATTTTCTCTTTTTTTTTTTTTGAAGTTTTTTTTTGGCTGGGGCTGGGTTTGAACTGGCCACCTCCGGCATATGGGGCCAGCGTCCCACTCCTTTGAGCCACAGGCGCTGCCCCTAGCCAACTCATTTTCAAGAAACATGCCAAGAACACAGAAAGGGGAAAGGAAATCTCTTCAGTAAATGGTTCTGGGGGGAAACTGGATAACCATATGCAAAAGAATGTAACTAGACTCTTTTCACTATATATATAAATCAAATAAAAATGAAGACTTAAAAAAAAAATGAAGACTTAAATCTGAGACCTGGTACTATGAAACTACTAGAAGAAAACACTAGGGAGATGCTCCAGGATATTGGTCTGCAGAGGGATTTTTTTGTGTAAGACCTCAAAAACACAGGCCACAAAAGCAAGAATAGACAAATGGGATTATACGGAACAAAAATGCTCTATGCAGCAAAGAAAACAATCAACAAAGTGAAGAGACAACCCGTAAACTGAGAGAAAATATTTGCAAACTATCCATTGAAAAGGAATTAATAACCAAAATACATAAGGATGTTAAACAACTCAATAGCAAAAACCCAAACAATCTAATTTAGAAATGGGCAGAAGATCAAATAGACATTTTTCTTTTCATTTCGTCCTTTTTCTTTTTTCTTTTTGAGACAGAGTCTTACTTTGTCAGTCTTGGTAGAATGCCATGGTGTCACAGCTCACAGCAACTTCAAACTCTTGGGCTTAAGAGATTCTCTTGCCTCAGCCTCCAGAGAAGCTGGAACTACAGGTGCCTACCATAACACCCACCTGCCTTTTTTTTTTTTTTTGGTGAAATCACTAAACA